ATGCCCCTGTTTCTTGGTTTTACACACCCAAGGCATTGCAAAAGCTTCATGGAATACTGCCCCGGCACCACGGATGTGATTTAATCTTTCCCCATACCATGTCCCCAACTTCATACGTGGTTCCTAATTGCTTCATCCAACATTCTCAAAAGTCAATCATTTCTTTCTCTCCCTTAGTCAATTTCTCATTCCTCATACTATACGCCATAATAGCAGCATAATCACAGGTCAATTTCTTCCCCATAATCAATCTCACAACAAACCTGATGCCTCAAACCTAGTACTTACATTATCTTTAGCTCAACAGCAAACTTTACCTCTTTCCCATAAATTCCACTCGAAAAACCCATAGTTTCCCAAAACTTGTCTCCATGTGAACACTTACAACATATGCTTTTAATTTCAACAAATCAAAGTTCAATGTCAAGGCCCTATTCAAGTGAGGAAATTTAACTCCCCGGACATCCCAAGTTTGCATTTAAATAATAACCCTGATTTTTTTGCAATTTTTAACTTAGAAAAACTGACATGGCATATTTAAGATTCATTAAATATGTAAAAAGGGTTAATTGAAAAGATTTAAACATAAAGGGTAATATATATTAACGAAAATTTGTTAAATTTTGAAAATTGCAACGACACCCCCTTCTCCAATCAAAATCGATTAAGCGGACTCAACGCTTAATCTACCCTAAGAAAACCTCGACGAAACAGCCACCCTTCACCGCGTTTTTCTTGTCGTTTTTCGCACACCATTGTCGCAATCGTTTGGTTGTATTGAAGACATTCTCTTACTTAAAAGGAAACAATGCTGACCTAAACAAAGATTTTGACAAGACCCAGCCCCTCTTCAAATCGTGACGCGAGTGGTTCAAAATGGAGAATCGGAGGTTGCAGTGGAGCAAATTTCGATGATTGAAGTTGGTCCAACAGGAGACGATACGATGCCAACAGAAGACAACCCGATAGGTGAACAAAGGAGGGCAGGAGCCAAAATTGAAAATGAGAGAAGGATGTCAGCGCAACGTCAGGCGGAAGGAGGAAGAAGATGAAATAAAGGTAATAATCTATATATTTATGAAATTATTGGTTTTTTAGGGGATATTTGGTTGGTGTGTTGTTAGGGTCATTGTTGCATTTTTTCAAACAGTTGGAAGGCATTGGAGAAGGATGTTGGCCTTCCAGAGGGATGGGAAGACAATAGAGGCCTTAGGGAGGTGTTTGTGGCTGTTGGTTGGCTTTTAGGCAAAGAGAGCGGAATGGGGCAGGGGGGCTGCCCTGCATATTGTGGGGCGTGCCACGCGTAGCCAGCCTTGTAATATGCAGGCAAGTCTCGAGCCCCCCTATGCAGCTCTCTCTACGATGTCCAGAGCATCGAACCTGCCACAACAACCTCTTTGTCTTCACGGACTCTGGAAGCCAAAACAGCCACTCCCTTAATGCACTCCAACATGTTGCTTATTTTGGTTTTGTTATGTTGATATGTAGTGATATCGATTGTGTAGTGTTATAAAAGCATAGATTATAAGGTTATGGGCTTGAGGTTGTAAATGATGTGTGCCATACTTCCCAGCAAGGGTTACCGTTAGGTCTAGTTGGCAAGTGTAAGAAAATTAAGGACATTCTAGGTGGGCATCCGAAAGGGTGAAGCGATTCAGAAACTCATGTTTTGGTCATTTTGTGGGGTTGGGAGATAATTGGAGTAAGGCCTTCTGGGGGCAGGGTGCACATTATCATTATCTTTTGGTGCACGCTGTTAAATGCAAAAAGAAGAATGAAATGTGGTTTCTGGTTGATGGAAAGCCGATGCGTTTGGGATGATGGAATTCTACTCAATGACGGGCTAAATTGTGGGACATTTCCAGACGTAGAAGTTGAAGAAATGGTAAGAATAGCAAGGCTGTTGAAACGTTTGTTAGAAAGGTGTTTGCAAGGGAACAGTCAATACGGGTCATGATTTAAAGAGAGGTTAGAAGTGGAACAAATTAGTATAGTTCTTCAGAGAGTTTGAATGTGCTTGGTATGGTTCGTGCTTTCGTCTTGATGGCTTTAACTCAATGAAAGCGTAAACTAGGATGGGTGCGATGAAAGTAATGAGGACTTCTTTTATTCTTATCCATGGGGAAGGTTATCATTAAGTTAATCATCGATTCCCTGCAAGGAAAAGACATGGCGATTAAATACCGCCAATATGCCAAGAAGCGGAAACCAGCACAATAATTTGTTTGCTTCCCTTGGGCAATGCAAGTATATTAATAGGTTTTAGTTAATTTTTTTGTATTATATGTGTTTTAATTCTGATATGGACTATTTTTTACAATATAGGCTTGGATATATGAGGTTGTCATCCTGGCTAAGGGCGGGGGAGGGGGGGGGGGGGGGGATGGAGAGTTCGGATGAGGCACCGCAATTTCCTAGGATGTTGCAATGGCACACCGAGAAGAGCACCCATTGGGACAATGAGAAAATTGAATGGAAATTGAACTACTTTGGGTAAGATTAAAGGATTTGTGTTTGAATATGTAATAGATTAAATGGTTTTTGTAAACTTGATTGATTTTTTTTTTTTGCAGGGATTGGTCCATCCGTTCATCACTCCATTAGGACTGAATGCTGATGGATTTGTACATGTTCAAAAGGTTGGATGATGTTTTGATGAGAAGATAGACCGCCTAATGCGGAACTTAAAAGGAGGTCACACATCTGACTGTAGTGGAAGGGTTGTTTGTTGAGCATGTGACTGAGGTCGAAGGCTAAGTAGGCGGGATGGATGAGGAGGAAGACATGGAGGCTTTGGTTCATACACCTCCTTCTAATTGGCAAACCGGTACACCAAGTATCAGTTTGCCACCAAGTATAGTTTGCCACCAAGTACGGTTTGCCTATGCATCCTGAATCTAAGTTGGTTGACCTCATAAACAGTCTACACAACAAGTTTGACTTGTTAAGCGATTTGACATGTTGAGCAGCACCATTTATGAGAAGGAGATAAATTAGAAGGGAGGGTGCAAATGGTGGAGGAGAAGGTTGACGTGCTGTTGGAAATGGAGGAAGTTCAACCTAAGAAAGAGAGACCCGAAAAAGCAAGCATGTGACATTTCCTTTCATGCAATTAAGGTATGAAAAGACGAGGAGAGTTGCGAAGAAAATGAGAAGTGGAGGAAGTGGGAAGCTAAACGGTGTAAGGAGGAACAAGGAGGAAGTGGGGAAGTGAAGCAAGCTGATATGGAGGAGGAAGAATGGAAGTGGGGTGGTGAAGCAATTAAAGCTGATTTTTTTAGGGTAGTAGATGAGGAAGGGAAAAAATTCCTTTATGCCTATTACAATGATGAACAAAGGAATGTGATTGTAAAGTGCAAGATCGAGGATTATCCCCGAAAGTGGTTTGATCAAATTTTGAAAATGGGCGCTAGGTGAGAAACTTGGTGAGGTATTTTCCCATATTTTGCCTTATTTTGCTTATGTTTTCATGAGGTATTGTGTGATCATTTAACGATCTGTTTTGATTTGATGACACTTATCATGTTTGTTTGTTTTGATGTAGCACATTGATGAGATTTTGGACTATGAGGTTGCGCTAGAGCACTGAGGGTGTAACTTTTATCCGTATTGTGCCATAACCGATGTGTCATTTGGCCAAAGTCTAGTAAGCGTATGTGAGAAGTTAATGAAAAAGGTAATGATAGAGGAGTCACAAGGGAAGGCAAGCAAAAAAGAATGGCTGCAGGTGAGTATGACAGTGTCCTTGCTGGGTACCGGTTGATGAAAGGATGATGCGGTATGTGAGGGGGAAAAGACCCAATATGGCAAGAGTTGGGCAATGTGAAAAGAGTATACTACATCATCAACATCCAAGATATGCATTGGATAACTGTCGTATGACTATTGAAGGACGGCTTGCTGGAGATCCTTGATTGCAACTGAGTATTGTCAGGGAGGTAGTTAGAGAAAGAGATAGAGTCGCTGTGTACATGTTCCCGCAACTGTTGCGACAGAGTAGTATGTTTAAGACCTTGGGTGATGAATACTGACGCGAAAGTGGCAACACAAGCGCATTCCTGTCCCAACAAATGACGCAAGGTAAATTTGTAAAAACTTACAAATACAATGTGTATAAGCTGATTGTAATAATAATGTCTTCCTCATATGTGTGTTGATTACGGGGTATGTGCACTAAAATTTCTTAAGTTCCACATGACCAACACCCCAATGGACAACTTGAATGACGATACAATGACCAACTTTTGGGGCGCTTGGCTGTTGAGTGCTTGTGGTCATATGGATGTTAGTTACTATGGTAGGTATGCTTATGATCACTAATCTGTACAAGTTCTTTTATTTTGGCTGTTCATTATAATACAGATTCTGCTGAGGCTATTAGAATTGTGAAGCACGCCATGGAAATGATCAACCTTTTGGTTGTTAGGCTCCTGTAGAGATGTTGTAGAATGCAACCCTAGAGTCCAATGATTCCGGGGAAGATTAGAGCAGTTGCATCATTCCAAGCCATTGTTGATGTTATCACAACAGGTATGGAAGTTGGACTTGGTTTTTGTAGTTTATGTGAAATGCATTTTTTATATGGATAATGGGTTGTCTTGAATTGAATAATTGGGTTGTGGTGCATAAATTGATATTGTTGGAAGGGGTGTTGTAGAGAAGACGAAGAGGCTGTGCTCCTACTGCCGATGCGAATGCATGCTAGATAACTTTGGAGGAGGAAAGGGCTAGTGGAACTTAAGAAGTATAATTTGAAAATTAAAGCATATTGTTCTTGAGTTTGACCACTATTCTTATACAAGATCTTAATTAAAACAGATTATTTTATGCGTAAATGAAACGCCGCCATAATTAACCTGTGTCTTTATAACTAAGCTAACGTGTAAATTCATAAAAATAGATAGATATGGTTCAACTATAACAACTCCTCTTGTAAGGCATTATCTCATTATAACTCTGAAGGAATTGTCTTCAGCAATATGCATAACACGCAGTACATACGCGGTAGGAAACCTTCAATAATGATACATTCTTCCCCCTGCAATCTTAAAATATTGTCCAGTTTTCCAGAGTTGGACCGCCAGAATCTTATACCTATCCCAATAATATGGCTAAGCAGAACAATAAGAAACATTCTGGGAGCTTTTTCTTTTCACCTTCTAAAAGCATTTACAAGCTGTACTACTGTTGTGTCAATGTAACAACTATCTACTTCCCATCATTCTTCAATAATAATAGATTCCTATACCAACTTTCCTTTTTTTTGTAACTCTCAAGCATCCACATTACTTTTTTACACTGAAACTTTAGGAAAAGTAAAAAGGGTCTTGGTTTGGCGATTCGGCGATTCTAGACTGCCTAATTTCACACTTACTCCTGCATTTCACGGCTGTTATGCTGCTGCTCATCACATCAGAGATTGAAAGGCACATATCCCAGTGAGCACTTTAAGTTGGCAACTATGTCATGGCATCTCATTAAAAGGTTTAGTGTTTGATTTGAGATGTTGATGCTCCTCTCGCTGCTAGGGGTATAGATACACTTGTTCCTTGCTTCAAGTTGAAGATATCGCCTGTTGCAAATCTCTACAAAATGGTCAAGTTTGTGGTTCTCAAGCATGCAAGAGATCCTGTTTGGAGGGAGAGGAAGAGGAGGCATGACCTCGTGCAAGTTTTGTGGATTAATGTTGACTGTTGCATAGGCATCTGAAGTATCATTTGAATGATTGCCAACAGAGATTTTGACATTGCGATTTGCCAACTGCTCTGTGCCAATACTTTCCTCCCCTTTCATCATATTTTTGACATGGGGGGTGTCACTATGAATAATGATAACCTCATCAACCTGTTGCTTCTTCAGAAATGATTTTGACTGGACATTTGGAAGCTGAGGTGGCGTAGACCTTGGTTTAGTGGAATTACCCATGCTCATGGACATAACAGGTGGAACCCAATCAGGGGATTTTCCTATAACAAGCTGCTTGCCTGGTTTAGGGAATTCTGTGGCAGGAACTTGGAAGGCTTGCAGATAATATTCTACCTTTGCACTGCCAAATAGTGATCTGTTTTTGACTGCATATTCATACGCTGCCTGAGCATTTGATTTGAACTTGAATATAACCTGGCATGTTGAGAATTTCCAAAACACATGAGGAGCAGAATGAAGCTGCCCGAAGCGTGCAAATCTTGCTTTGAGCTCTGAAACTGAGGGCAGCGCTGATTGATGAGGGAATTGCATCCCTATCATTGTAGGTTCAGCGGCCCTTGTTGAAGTCTCCTGCATGTTCCTGGGTGTATGTGTTGTCAGCTTTTTTGGGACTACCACATTCATTTTTCTCTCATTGCTACCTTTAGGTTTCAGAAGCTTCCAGCTGTCAGTCTGCTTTTCTGCAGTCAATAACTTAAGCTCCTTCATTTTTTTCAGTTCTTCCACAGGCATCTTTTTCACATGATCACAAATGCTGCTGTTTACTCCAACATTTGCATAATCATCAGGTTTGAGCCCTTTTTTTGGTGGTTTCAAAGCACAAGGCAGGTCTTGAGCAGTTACATTGTAAGGACTCTTAGCCACACAACAGGCAGAAGATTTAGTAGGTGAACTTTCAGTTAATTCGGCTTCTGCTGCTGGGGCCACAACAAAGTCTTTCTTAAAGACTACAGATCTGAGTTTCATGAAAAACTTCGGCACAATTTCAGGGATATTGTTCTTGCAATGACACGGGCTATGAGCAAGATCTAACAGATAACTAAGCAACTGGGGAAAGTTGCTGTTAATACTTCTTAAACCAACCATTTGCTCTGTAGCCATAGAATCAGAAGAAAAGGTGTGTGGTTTATAGCCTGATTCTCGTTTTTCATCTTTAAGGAGATTATCTGAACATTCAAGGTCTGGCTCAGACTTAAATTCTTTCTTCCTTTTATTTTTACCCGCTAAAAGAGTTTCCTCAGAATGTAAATCTCCTCCAAAACGTTCCTGAACTCTTGGTTTCTCATCCAGACCTTCACTACTGGTAACCTTTCGAATTACTACAGCATCTGGGGGAGGCAAAACTCTTCCAACCACCTGCACATTCTCCAAAGAATGACTAGTTTCAACTAGTTTTTTGAATTTTGGCCGGCATTGTTGGAAACCTTGAGATCTGTCACAATATTTTACCCTCTTTGGTTCTCCGTCAACTGTAGCCTTAATTGAATTATTTTCAAGTGTTGACTTCTTTACAGTTGTGGCTTCTTTGCGAAAAGGATCTGTTCCATATTCAACAAGAAACCAAAAAGAACTTTGTAATAGGGCGAAAAACTATATGAGAAATACATATGACAGAACATAAAGAAACCAAGAGATCAGAATATTTAAATGCAATTTGCCAGACAAGTAATATGAATTGGACACAACTAATATTATACACGACAAGTTGCTAAATATTTGATAAACAATTTGTTCATCCCATTTTATCACCAGTGACCAAGAAAACCACTTGATACATATATATAAGCTGGCAATTGGAACTACATGAAATGACCTTATGGCTCAGCTTGGACTAACCATAAAACCACATTTTGCAAGAAATGGAACAGTTACCATCACAATGACAACAGTCAGCTAGATCCTGCCTAACATTGGATTCATATAATTGTAGCTGATGATTTTACTATAAGGCTTCTGAGCAGTTTCTAACTTCTTCTAGAAAACATGGCAATAAAGAGCAATATCAAGCACTAACACACACTAGGATATCTGGGCATCATCATGAGACAAACCAGAAATCCATGTGACTGCCACACAATTTCACAAAAAGATCACAAAATGCACAACGCCATTTCTGGCCATACTGATTTGTGATTTCTGTTTAATAATTCTATATGAGAAATCCAGAGCCTGATATCTGTCAATTTAAATCCAATCTTAATAATAATAGTAAAAGGTAATGAAACTCAAGCTCAATAGCCCCTCTTTTATTCTATTTTTCCATATGTAAGGATAAACTTGCAACGCCTCCAGAACAGGAAACAGACATAGATAGGCTTTGTTAAACAAAAGATGGTAATCAATGAAACTTAAATACACAAGTTCATCAACATTTAAGAATCAATACCTTGAGAATGCCCTTGCTCCTGCAGATTCAAAGCCTGAAATGATTTGGCACCATGTATTGGCTGTTCTCCCAAGGCCTGAGCATAGGTCTTATCGACATCCTCAAACACGGCCTTCCGGTAAGCAAGAACAACAGCGATATTCTTAATCCAATCAATGCTTCTTTTCAAATCACTAGATGGCATAGATGCTAACTTGTGTACAAAACAAAGCATCTCGAAAGGCTGAAACCCTTCTCTAGCATTTTTAATTTGCTGCTTTGAATACACCACACCGAGCTGATGGCCATTCATATCAACTTCAACAAACCTTTTAACACCCGTTGCCCGAAAGTTACAAGGATTATGACACTGACAGGACACTCCAAGAGCAGCTCTCCTACCAGCCTCATCCTCTGCCTCTTCAACAGCATCTAAAAACGGCCTAGCATCTGTTTGCATCGATTTCTCAACATAATTAACGTCAAATGGTATAAGCTCCATTCGATCAAACCATCCATAGCTATTATCTCCAAAAAATGCAACCAACAGATGCCCCTGTTTCTTGGTTTTACTCACACAAGGCATTGCAAAAGCTTCAAGGAATACCTGCCTCGGCCACCACGGATGTGATTTAATCTTTGCCCATACCATGTCCCCAACTTCATACGTGGTTCCTAATTGCTTCATCAAACATTCACAAAATCGTCAATCATTTCTTTCTCTCCCTTAGTCAATTTCTCATTCCTCATACTATACGCCATACTAGCAGCACTAATCACAGGATCAATTTTCTTCCCCATAATCAATCTCACAACAAACCCTTGATGCCTCAAACCTAGTACTTACATTATCTTTAGCTTCAACAGCAAACTTTACATCTTTCCCATAAATCCCACTCGAAAAACCCTTAGTTTCCTCAAAACTTGTCTCCAATTGAACACTTACAACATATACTTTTAATTTCAACAAGTCAAAGCTCAATATCAAGAACCCTATTCAAGTGAGGAAATTTAACTACCGGACATCCCAAGTTTGCATTTTAAATAATAACCCTGAATTTTTCTAAGTTAGAAAAACTGACATGGCATATTTAAGATTCATTAAACATGTAAAACGGGTTAAACTGAAAAGATTTAAATATATGTGGGTACTATATAGTTAACAGAAGTTTGTTTAAATTTTAAAAATTGCAAACGACCCCCCCTTCTCCGATCAAAATCGATTAAGCGGACTCAATTGCTTAATCTACCCTAAGAAAACCCCGACGTAATAGCCACCCTTCACTGCGTTTTTCTTGTCCTTTTTCGCCACCCATTGTCGCAATCGTTTGTTGTTTGTATTGAAGACATTCTCTCTTACTTAGAAAGAAATAATGGTTGACCTAAACAAATTTTGACAGAGACCTAACCCCTCTTCAAATCGTGATGCGAGTGGTTCGAAAATTGGAGAATCGGAGGTTGCAGTGGAGCAAATTTCGATGATTGAAGTTGGTCTAGCAGGAGACAATACAGTGCCAACAGAAGACAGCCCGACAGGTGAACAAGGGAGGGCAGGAGCCAAAATTGAAAATGAAAAGGAGGATGCCAGCGCAACATCAGGCGAGAAGGAGGAAGAAGATGAAGTAAAGGTAATAATCTATATATTTTATGAAATTATTGGTTTTTTAGGGGATATTTGGTTGGTGTGTTGTTAGGGTCATTGTTGCATTTTTTTCAAACAGTTGGAGGGCATTGGAGAAGTGGATATTTGGCCTTCTAGAGGGATGGGAAGCCAATGGAGGCCCCAGGGAGGTTGTTTGTGGCTATTTGGATGGCTTTTATTGGCAATGAGAGTGAAATAGGGGGTAGGGGGGCTGCCTTGCATATTGCAGGGCTGTCCATGCGTAGCTAGCCTTGTAATATGCAGGCAAGCCCCGAGCCCCCCTATGCAGCTCTCTTCTGTGATGTCCAGAGCACCGAATCTGCCACATCAGCCTCCCTTGTCTTCATGGACCTCTGGAAGCCAAAAACAGCCACTCCCCTAATGCACTCCAACATGTTGCTTGTTTTAGTTTTTTGTTATGTTGATATGTAGTGTATATCGATTGTGCAGTGTTATAAAAGCATAAATTATAAGGATTATGGGCTTGAGGTTGTAAATGATATTGTGCCATACTTCCCAGCAAGGGTTACCGTTAGGTCTAGTTGGCAAGTGTTTAAGAAAAGGACATTCTAGGTGGGCATCCGAAAGGGATCAGAAACTCATGTTTTGGTCATTTTGTGGGGTTGGGAGATAATTGGAGTAAGGCCTTCTGGGGCAGGGTCCACATTATCTTTTGGTGCACATTGTTAAATGCAAAAAGAAGAATGAAATGTGGTTTTTGGTTGATGGAAAGCCGATTCGGTTTGGGATGATGGAATTCTGCTTAATGACGGGCCTAAATTGTGGGCCATTTCCAGACGTAAAAGTTGAAGAAAGGGTAAAGAATAGCAAGGCTGCTGAAACGTTTGTTAGAAAGGTGTTTGCAAGGCAACAGTCAATTACGGGTCATGATTTAGAGGAGAGGTTAGAAGCGGAACAAAATTAATATAGCTCTTCAGAGAAGTTCTGAATGTGCTTGGTATGGTTCGTGCTTTCAGTCTTGATGGCTTCTGACTTAATGAAAGCCATAAACTAGGATTGGGTGTGATATGCAAGTAATGAGGACTTCTTTTATTCTTATCCATGGGGAAGGTTATCATTTAAGTTAATCATCGATTCCCTACAAGGAAAAGACATGGCGATTAAATACCGCCAATATGCCGAGAAGCGGAAACCCAGCACATATAATTTGCTTAGCTTCCCTTGGGCAATGCAAGTAAATATTAATATGTTTTAGTTAATTTTTTTTGTATTATATGTGTTTTAATTATGATATGGACTATTTTTTTTACAATGTAGGTTTGGATATATGAGGTTGTCCTGTCCTGGCTAAGGCGAGGAGGGGGGGGGGGGGGGGGGGGGGGGGGGGGGGGGGGGGATGGAGAGTTCGGATGAGGCATCGCAATTTCCTAGGATGTTGCAATGGCACACCGAGAAGAGCGCCCATTTGGACTATGAGAAAATTGAAATGGAAATTGAACTACTTTGGGTAAGATTAAAGGATTTGTGTTTTGAATATATAATAGATTAAATGGTTTTTGTAAACTTGATTGATTTTTTTTTTCTTTTTGTAGGGAGTGGTCCATCCATTCATCACTCCTACTAGGGCTTAATCGCTAATGGATTATGTTATATCGTTCAAAAGGTTGGATAATGTTTTTGATGAGAAGATAGACCACCTAATGCGAGACTTAAAAGGAGTCACGCATTTGACTGTAGTGGAAGGGCTGTTTGTTGAGCATGTGACTGAGCCGAAGGCTAAGTAGGTGGGATGGATGAGGGGGAAGACATGGAGGCTCTGGTTCATACGCCTCCTTCTAATTGGCAAACCGGTACACCAAGTACCAATTTGCCACCAAGTATTAGTTTGCCACCAAGTACCGGTTTGCCTATGCATCCTGAATCTAAATTGGTTGACCTCATAAACAGTCTACACAACAAGTTTGACTTGTTGAGCGATTTGACATGTTGAGCAGCACCATTTATGAGAATGAAGATAAATTGGAAGAGAGGGTGCAAAGGGTGGAGGAAAAGGTTGACGTGCTATTGGAAATGGAGGAAGTTCAACCTAAGAAAAGAGAGACCCGAAAAAGCAAGCATGTGACATTTCCTTTCATGCAATTAAGGTATGAAAAGAAGAGGAGAGTTGCGAAAGAAAATGAGGAAGCTGGAGGAAGTGGGGAAGCTAAACCGGCTGATATGGAGGAACAAGGAGGAAGTAGGAAAGTGAAGCAAGCTGATATGGAGGAAGAATGAGGAAGTGGGGTAGTGAAGCAATTAAAGCTTGATTTGTTTAGGGTAGTAGATGAGGAAGGGAAAAAATCCCTTTATGCCTATTACAATGATGAACAAAGCGATGTGATTGTGAAGTGCAAGATCGAGGATTATCCCCGGAAGTGGTTTGATCAAATTTTGACAATGGGTCGCTAGGTTGACGACTTGGTGAGTTATTTTCCCATATTTTGCCTTATTTTTGCTTATGTTTTCTATGAGGTATTGCGTGATCGTTTAAGCAATCTGTTTTGATTTAATGACACTTATCATGTTGTTTTGTTTTGATGTAGCACATTGATGAGGTTTTGGCATTTATGAGGTTGCACCAGAGCACTGAGGGTGATAACTTTTATCCGTATTGTGTCATAACCGATGTATCATTTGGCCAAAGTCTAGTAAGCGTATGTGAGAAGTTAATGAAAAAGGCCAATGATAGAGGAGTCACAAGGGGAGGCAAGCGAAAAAGAATGGTTGCAGGTGAGTATGACAGTGTCCTTGATAGGTACCGATTTGATGAGAGGATGATGCAGTATGTGAGGAGGAAAAAGCCCAAATATGGCAAGAGTTGGGCAAATGTGAAAAGAGTATACTACATCATCAACATCAAAGATATGCATTGGATAACTGTTGTATGACTATTGGAGAAGGGCTTGCTGGAGATCCTTGATTGCAACCCAAGTATTTGTCAGGGAAGGCAGTTGGAGAAAGAGATAAAGCCGTTGTGTACATTGTTCCCGCAACTGTTGTGACAGAGTGGTATGTTTAAGCACTTAGGTGATGAACTACTGACAAGAAAGTGGCAACACAAGCGCATTCCCGTCCCAATAAATGACGCAAGGTAAATTTTGTATAAAACTTACATAATACAATTGTTCTATAAGCTAATTGTAATACTAATGTCTTCCTCATATTTTAATGCTGATTACGGGGTATATGCACTAAAATTTCTTGAGTTCCACATGACCAACACCCCAATGAACAACTTGAATGATGATACAATGACCAACTTTTGGGAGTGCTTGGCTGTTGAGTGCTTTTGTGGTCATATGGATCCCTTAGTTACTATGGTAGGTATGCTTATGATCACTAATCTGTATCAGTTCTTTTATTTTGGCTGTTTTCATTATTAATGTAGATTTTGTTTATGGCTGTTAGAATTGTGAAGCACGCCATGGAAATTATCAACCTTTTGGTTGTTAGGCTCCTGTAGAGATGTTGTTGAATGCAACCCTAGAGTCCAATGATTCCGGGGAAGATTAGAGCCAGTTGCATTCAATCCAAGCCATTGTTGATGATATCATCAACAGGTATGGAAGTTGGACTTAGATTTTTGTAGTTTATGTGAAATGCATTTTTTATATGGATAACTGGGTTGTCTTGAATTGAATAATTGGGTTGTGGTGCATTAAACTGATATTGTTGGAAGGGGTGCTATAGAAGAAGACGAAGAGGCTGTTGCTTCTATTGCCGATGCTGAATGCGTGCTAGATAACTTTGGAGGATGGGGAAGTGGCTGAAGACAATGATGAAGAGGGAGGATGGAGCCTGTCGAGGCTGCTATTAGTCTGGGTTGGTTTAGGACATTTAGTTAATGTGTATAATGTTGTATTTTCATGTAATTGACACATTTAAGATTTCTAATAAAGCAATTCAGTATTTCTTTCCCTTTTTGGACTTTGAGTTTATTTAGTGATGTTGTTAGATGGAATGAATATGAGTTGATGCAAATAGGTTGTCAAATTCAAGAGAAAAAATGGAATGAATATGTATTAATGCAAATAGGTTGTCAAATTCAGGAGAAAAGATGGAATGACTATGTGTTGATGCAAATAGGTTGTCAAATTGAGAAAATACAGAGTTAACATGTGTTGATGCAAATAGGTTGTCAAATTGAGGAGAAAATACATAATTAATATGTGTTGGCCATGATCGCTTAAGTATCGCTTATAAAAACTGCATTCTTGCATGGTAACTTAGAGGAAAAAATCTTCATGAAATAGCTTGCTGGCTTTATTGATAGCAAATTCCCTGATCATGTGTGTTTTTTGCACAAGACTTTATATGGGCTCAAACAAGCCCCTAGGTAATATT